TAGTAATGAGAAATTAAATTCTTAAGTAAGCTGGTTCGTTCGATTGTCTAAAAGTTCAAGACTATTGTTTTCTTTCTTTTTTTCATCTAGATTTGGGACACAGTTTTACCTCTTTCTACTCTTTCTAACATGAATTCCTCTATCATTTAGATTCAAAATACTACTATTATGTCAAAATGGACAGGCTGTGTTAGACAAAACTTAAGACTTAGTAATGTGAAATTAAATTCTTACCTTGTTAGCCTGTAGCCTGCGTCGATGTCAATTAGGAGATACGACTTTTTGGTTCTTAAAAACCACGTGACTTTGAAAGATGTTTTATGACAAACTGGCGTATATAAGATACGACATTTTGGTTTGTAGAAAATTTCACGAATCAGAATACGATGTTTAGTCACATGCCTATAACTTGAGTTCTAACTGGATTACAACTACCGCGAATAGAGCATTCGACGCGCCATTAATTTACGATTCTAACCATGTAAAAAACGTTTTTGGCGCCAAAATTGATATACGTGGTTTTGATCGCCCACCGACGATATGTTTGTGCCAAATAAATTCATCTAGGGCCCCAATATTAAAGGGAACCCCAAATTCGTTCCAAAAAAGCATTGGTATCATAAATAAATATGTCATGTTTTATATTGTATATGTTTGTAGTAAATATATTTATCTATCTACCATAGTGACCTTCACATTGCATTTGTGTGGGTGTGACGGACAATGATCAGAATATGCCTCCTCTTCACCGTTGATGCAAGGGCACCGTGACATTTTCAGCAAGGGGCTTCATGCAAGCTTAATCCGGCCCTGACGGACGAACGGAGAAGAAACCTATAGCCCCTTCCGTTTTCACTTTAGGGGACTGACTGTCGAACGGGTAAGCAAAGCCTGAATATTAAGTTTATGGTTCAGAAATACATTTGATCAGCAATGTGTTAAAAGACGAAATCCCATAGACATTTGATTGTTGTTGGATTTGTTTTTGTAAAGTTCAAATTAGGAAACAATTTTTGAAACAATATTTCTGCCTTACACCCATTGATACCCCATAACAGTGGACTCGTCCATGCGAAAGGGAATGAAAAAGAGTAATAGGTGCATCTGACGAGTAAAGAAAATGAAATGAAATAGGATTCAACGTCCCAATTTTCAGTATCATCCGAACTAACAAAGTCGAGTATACGCCCATGCAGTGCTCTATGGGGAAATTTTGTCCGGACAGTGATTCTGAGGATGGATCCGGGAACGTACTTGTTTGTGAGACATCGCGACACCCGAAGAGTAAAGAACTAATTGTGTTTTTACCAAGTAAACTGTAACTGATCGACTGAAATAGTTTCACAACTCTTTTCATTTTGCCATCAAGAAGTATTGTTTCTTTTTAAAATATGAAATCCTATTCGTTCTGTTAGTTTATATAATGACACCCTTATTGTTCCTTTTTTCATTCATGGCCCACTATGTGTTGAATGATATGTGAATTCTAATTAAACAGATTTGAACGAAGAAAATAAGATTGAACTAACATACTCATATCAACCACCCCCGCCCCTCCCACTAGTGGTTAATTTCATGTTCTGGAATTGTTATTTAGCTATGGTTTGCCGGGTGCATAAAATATACCACACGACCCCAAATATACTTTTAAATGTCTGATTCTTTGTCTTTGATTATTTAAGACATATTTTAAAACATAACATAAGATTTGAATACTTGTTTTATATTGAAATATGGCCAAACGAACCGTTTCATCAGTTAAATCCCCGTCCCAGTTTTGTATTTGGCACATCACACTAACTATGAAGTTGTTTGAACAATTTAAGGACGTTTGTTAGTTTAAAAGATCAAATGTTATGCAAGACCCATGGAAACAAGCAAACAGACTCAACTGGGAAAGAACTTTATGTAGTAAAGACGTGGGTGATGGTTAGGGTTCATTTTCTATTGCTAACACATGATTGCCATCACGAAGAAAATGATTTAGGTTACATTAATTTTAACGACGTGTCTTCCAAATATTATCTCGAAAGGCCATACCGATCGAATTGTTTTAATGGAAGTTTAATTTTATGAGACCTTTAGTCCATGTTTTTTCTTGGCTCCCAGAGTGGAATCAATTTATGGCACTTTACCCATTAACTATCGCAATGGGAAAGAGTATAGAGGAGTATAAGTAATTTATTACAGAAATTGCTTAATTAAATTTATCAGCTAAGCATATTCAAAAAAGGTGTCACCCAGGGAGATCACTTATCACCAATTTTATTTTCGTATTACAGTAATGCTTCTTTTGAAAGAGAGCCCGATTCAATTCACAATCTTACTAGTCTAATGAGACCAGAGTTGAATAATAAAGTGGTCTTGTTTTGAGCTCGAACACCTACTGAGAGCACACACCAACCGACCTTATAATCGCATTAGTACGTTTGTGCCATTTGCCGTTGGCGACTATTTCGCCCAGTGAGACTTGGGCCATCTCCCCACCTACTATAATTACATAAATGTAATTGTCACTCTTTGGTCAAGCTTGAATACTCATGGGGGTTTAAAGTCCAACAACAAAGGGAACCGTGGAACAAATTAGAGGAACTGTCAAAGCATTGAATCTAACGAGGACATTTCGCCGTAGGAAAGACCTCTGATCCAATGTACATGTAAATTAAGGTCCGAAGTAGTCGATAGCGTATATGTATATGCTAGCTAACTTTTCAGGCCAGTGCTGACCTTTAGGTAATTCGTTTGATTAGTAACAGGTGAACGAAACAGATGGGGGATTAAAGTGTTAACTAGTGTTTGGCTTCCCCTCATCAATCTAATTCAACGATGACCCTTGATGACCTTAATGACTTGCCCATTGCTGACCGCCGAAATTTCAGACAAATGGCAATAGTTTCTAGTTTCTTGTAGATTGACATAGATGATAAAAGGAAAGTCATAAATACAACAAAAAAATATTTGGTTTCTAATTTCTTATGATCTTTGTTTGACCCAGCCGCTTCATCGCATCCGAAAATAGCACCCAGAGAAAGAGGAACCATTCTAGTTTTAACATTTCAATATTTAAATACATTTTTTGGGGAAAGGACATTTTTAAGAAAACTGGAAAATTTAATAAAAATTAAATCATATTACTTAAATTTTCAAATCAATTAGATCACCAATGTCGTCCCACATGCATGACATTCTCTGTAGGCATCTTTAAAACACACTTCGTATATTTATATACATTTTGATGACGTGTTGAAAGATCAAATATTTATCTCACAGTTTTTGTTTCAATTAATAACGTTTATTTACTTTTACTTTCGCAGTTCATTTCATCACTTTGTTAAATACGAGTTTAATGGAAGCTACACATTTGGTTATCTCTTCATCAAATACAAGAACATTAACACCCTTTTACTTATCTCTTTTCAGAGCAAACAAATGTAGGATTTATCAACATCAAAGACCATCTCTTTAAACACGGCGGACAAGCTGTATTGAAAAAAAGGGTTAAAGCTACAAATGGTAAAATTGGGTCCGCGGAAGGGGGTCCTAATATATGTCATTAAATATCTGAACTTCAAAAGACGGGACATCTGTAACCTGAAAGTCGAGTGGAAAATGTTATCTATATGATCAGGTATCGAGAAATGGGAAGGATGAGTTTTTCGTAAAAGCATAAAAGAATTGTATAGCACTTGATCTGATGGACAAGTAATTGTAGATGCTTGTGAGGAGAAAGAATTTGTTACCTTCTTTCGTCTGGTGTTTGTTTTTGTTTAGCACGCAAAGACCTACAACTGGGCCGAATTGTGTTTTATTTCTCTCGTCTGCACCCGAGTATTATCTGATAAACCGCGGGTTTTATAACCGCGAAACATCATTCGACAGACAAAGAAAGGCCGAGAATTGTGATAACCACAGAAGGCAGAAAACCAAACAATTATTCTTTTGTCTAACGAAATTATATTTTGTCCATTTATTCAAGTGTTGTGATACACGTGTTCATAGTTGTGTTGACAATTTGCGCATTAATCCCAGAGATATGAATTAATCATGTTTATTATTAATGTTCCACCTTAAATGTACTGACTTACACGAAGACGGACGTTAAAGCAGAAAAGGAATGTAGCGGCGCTATATTGATTTTGTTGAAGTTCGTGTAGATGATTAACTCAATTAATGATTTTTCTGGTATTAAAAAGTAACTAATAAAATTAGAATAAGGGTCATATATTTCTCTAAGAGGTCTACACAGAAAAATCTCTTAATAAGAAATCGATTTTAAGTGTTATTCTATACTATGTTATCAATCATTCTATCTTTGGCATATTGGTGTTTTATTATTTGAACTGGACTTTAAAAGCTTTTCTAGTCAACAAGTATCAACTATGAACATTTTAAAAAATTGTCTTATATACGTACGCATTATAACTTAATATATTTATATATAACGTCCTATATAATATATGGATATGCCGCTTCCTAACATTATAATTCTTAATGGCCACAATTTTGTTTACATGTTATGACAGACAACATGAAATATGACCATATTATGCAGATGTTTCAGAAACCTGAATAACAGAAACATGTTTTCGTTACCAGTCGGTCGGTATTGGAAAAGTCAAGAGCATCTACTAATGATCTCTATTCTGTAACCCAGGGCCTACATTCAGTTAATTCCACAAAATTGTCAAAATGTTTGGGTTTAGTTTCGTAAAGAATGCCTCCAGGGCCTGTTTTAAGTGGACAAACATCCCTTACATCCTAGTTATGTCATAGCTGTCTCGCCGGAAAGTGATCCTTATTTATATCTGCCATTCGCACTATTCAAATAAATCAACACCGTGTACACTTAATGTAAACAAGTGGCAGCTTTTGAATTCGTTCGAAATTTAATAAATATCTTGTTAGTGGGAAAAAAATAATTAATAACGAAAATGGTTCGTTTGCCAAAATTTATTTATTGGTAACATTTCAATGAAACGATATTTTCTAACAACATAATAAATATGAAATAATCAATACATTTGAGTTATGTAAATTAAATTGGGGTTATTGAAGTCCTCTGTTAGTTTTAGTTTTTTTTTATATAAAACATTTGTATTTACAAAAGTGAAGAAAATAGTGTGATTGTGAAGGAAAAATGAGGAAATGAATGCAAAGCTCAAAAATGGTTTTGTTTTGTTTTTGAAAATTAAAAAAAAAAAAAAACGAAACGAAATATAAAACTTAATAATGAGGGGTATGATGATTGAACAATATTGGAAACTTAAATCGAATGTAAGTTGGCAAGTTATCGGTCAATGAAAAATGTTCATACAAACTCTGAATTTTTCTTGATATGTACAAAATATATCAATATACATTTGGGTTTTTATAAACAATCACATATATGGTTGTGAATACAGTGTGTACATATACATGAATATAGATTAGATTTTAATATATAATATATTTATCACTATATTTACAGTACCGTATACTATTAAATCCCTTTTAGTAGTTTTATGCAAAATTTATTTTCTTAAAACGTTCTATGGTTTATTAAATCACAAGATTTTAAATTAAACTAGTTACTGTTCTAAAAACTAAATATCCACTTCTGACACCACTGTTCTTTTATTAAAGAAAATATCGTTCTACGTACGGTTCCAAACGATTGTGTCACTAGAGTAACAATAATTAGTATTCAATTCACTTATTGTCTCCACATTATGCCATTCAAAACAAAGCACAGACATCATTAGAATTCAATATTAATCAGTAAAAAATGAATAAATATATACTAATGCAACAGTAAAAGTATTAATTTTCAAGACCAATTACGTTTTCCACAAAAAGTTGGTGTCACTGTCACAGCACGTTATGCCATTTCATAAATTATCAACACAGAAAAAACCTCATTGTATCCATGACAAATGGTCTCATATAATACATAGTTTATCACACATTAACTTCGTTACATGAATATTCATCTATAGTACAGCACATTGTAACCATGTTATGAATAATACTACACATATTCACATCCAAAAATTCTATTTAACAGCCACGTTGGTTTTCCATTTACACAATCAACAGAAATGTTCTGAAATCGAAACGCACTTTAAGTGTTAAATGTTTAAGCACTGGTTTCTGTGTGTGTTGGTAATGGCTGACTTGAGGTATTGGCTAACATGGCTCTGTCTCTGTGAATTGTGTATTGTTGTGGGTGTAGATGCGGATGATGGCCGTGGTGGGGGTGATGATGAGGAGGGTGGTGCAAGGTGTGGTGTTTAGGCATGCCATGTAACATTCTAGGAGGCTGATAAGGAGGAGGTGGGTAGTCATCAACACACAACGACATTTGTTGGTGATGAAAAGGTCTAAAGTCTTTTACATTTGTCAGGTGACGATTATGGTGAGCTAAAGCCAGAGCATGAGCATGCGATTGACCCTGTATGGCCGCTAAATTATTAGTATTAATACTTTCATAGCTTCTACGTTCGGGAATAACTTCATAATAATTCTCCGAGCTAGTCTGGCTGTAATCCGTTTGTCCCTGATCCGACAACGATGGATTGACGTAAAATACATCGTCTTGTGTCATTGTTGCCTGGCTTGATGTCACCGAACTACCCTTAGTTTTACTCCTTCGCCTCCCAAGAAACCACAGCGCGAAAAATACGGCAGCGGCTATCAAGGCTACTCCAGCAACTATTCCAAGACCAAGTGACACATACATAAACTGATCTGGTGCTGGTAGAGGGGGTATCACAGCTTTTCCTAACGGATCCTGTTCACAGTCACCATAAAATCCAGATACATTGAACACATAATTCAGATTCAAAGGTTGCACAGAATCACAACGACTCAACGCAAAGTACCATGTTCTTGGTCCACTCGAACGGAAAATACGTTCTCCTAAGCACACGTAATAGGGCTCTCCGGTTTCATTCCAAATATTGCAACCAACCGTGCGATTGTTTTTATAAAGTGGAATAATTTGATTGTTATCAGCAGGTAGAATCTTTTCTCTTTCTTTACACGTCATATCTTCCTTCAACTGTCTAATTTGATCGTCATAATAAATGAGTAAATTAGTACAACATTCCTTCACGGGGTAAGTGATTTGGTACTGAATTTTAGCCCAGTCTCGGTGGAATGGTTTTTGAACTAAATATCCATACCATTTAAGTTCAGTGTAAACACGACCCTTCACTGTACACACGGGTTCCTCGGCCATTACGAAATTTCCAGATAAAACACAACACAAAAACAGCGTTAGTCGAATGATGATATCCATAATTCTTGTCTTTGTCGCAGACACAAACAACTCCATGTTAGCTACACGAACAACAAGCTACCAAAGCAAGATGGATCAATATATTTCACTCACGGGCTCAGTCAACATGGCCGTCTACTCTACCTGACTGTCAGTGGTTTCTTTTTGTCTTGTCAGCTCACAACACATCCAGTCACACCAAAAGATGTTCTCTCCTCTTGTCACCGAGAGCAAAATCCACTTGCTGTTTCCTCCTGCCCTAATACCACACAAACTATCAAGGTTTGAGCAGCCGATCAAATTTCCCAGCTGCTCATACCCCGCGTTCTGCAACAGTTGCTGTGAGAATGTCGTCTGCTACAGACTCGAGATACCCGCGTGAATTGTAGACGATACCATGTGCGCGGCTGTTGTTGAAAATAGGGGAGATTTCTTGTCTGTACTTTACAGCGTTCTTACTGTAAACTTGGATAAACCTGGAAAAACAATAACAAACATCTTTAGTTTGGCGGAAACTTATTTATGATTGGGGAAAACAGTTTTATATCGTTGAAGGCAGAACACCGAGAACCCATCAATATGAACTCGTTTCATTCCCAGTAATTATAGTAAAATAAGAATTACTCGTACCCATATCAACCCCCTGTAAGGATATTAAAACCATATTTCATATAAAACATGTGACCTCGGGGCCATGTTAGGAGCAGATACGTGTATATCCTAGCGTTCTCACGAACTTGCTTTTTGATTACTGGAAACAACACGAACAACAAGAGAAAAGACGAGAAAGAATATATAATGAACACAATGCATTCTTTCACATCTTGTAACAAAATAACTCCCTTGGTGTACATCCTACGTGTTACTTAAACTCTGCAGAATTCAAACAGCTGATGAATTAGGTCTTCTAAATAAATGAAAAACGGGGAAATACATACACAATCGCATCCAAACCAACGCTATTTAAGTCTGTACCTTAAGACTCGAGATTGACATAATATGTTGAAAGGGTGAAAAATGTGTGAAACACATAAAGAAGCTGCTAGTGTTGGTTAACAAACGTTTGTTTGCCTAGACATCGAAGAGGGTCGCGTTCGTTTCTTTCTTTGTGGAAAACTGGAGCAAAAAGTAACTAAACTAACACTTGTGATGTACAACCAAACAAGTTTAAGGAGATATACTCCACACTGAGTCAGGTCATTAGGTTTTTAAAGAAGAAAACACCATGTTAATATTTAAATCATGACATCACAGGTACACCTCGGTCAATACCAACAAACTTTGGGGAAATGATTTCTCTAGAATAATCTGAAAGGCCAATTTGAAACCCTAAGGCTTTAAAGTTCGCCATTTTGTAACAAATATTACTCTATGTTATGTTCGGTAAACCTTTGCTACGAAATGGAATGGCAAAATATGCGATCACGTGGATCCATTTTAATTAGTTCCATGCTGTATTTGAAGTTACTGAGTACAAAAAATATGTCTGTGCTAGTGGAATCATTTCAATCCAGCGCGCATTTCTTGTCAAAATTGTCAGTAGACCGTATTTATGATAGACTGCGACGTACCTGTCGACAATAAACCATTGAGTATAGACATCTTAAAATTTAATGATCACATAAAGCCTACTTTACAAACTATAAATACATAAAATAGTATATCAAAAACTGCTTTGATCTCGCCGCTATATACCTTTAGTACCATGTGCCACCTATGTACGAAGTTTTGATCAATGAGGTGACCTACAGCTGAGATTATACATAATAGGTATAATGTACAACGAACAAACTGGTACATGTAAATGTATATTATATGTGTAATTTCTCAAGTTGAGTTTATTAAAATATGTCGAATCGGATATAGATATATGTTCTTACCTACTTCAATCAATACTTAACACAAACAAGTTCGTGTAACAAATTTTACATTATTATTCTTCAAACAACGCATGACTCACTCAAGATTATGTTATTCACAATGTAATTATCTTATAAAAAAGGACACCGGTGTTATTCTATTAAATATGATAAGCTAAGTAATCGTGGGTCGCACAAAAATTCAGGGAATGTTTTCGAAATGACTAAAACAAGTTCAGAGAATTCAATATAAGTGACCATTGATCACAATGTATGGACAAAAATCCAATAGAAAAATTTATTGGAAGTTTTTTCAATTTGTAGATCAAACAAGTAAATGTTATTAGATAGTCATGCTCTGTAATGAAATCATTGAAATGGACTTTGTTTTATTATCTGAGTGTAGATTGTTTTATAGTGATCACAGCTGTTAAGGTCGATGATTTACTTCCATAGTATTCGTGGCTTTAATTTATTGCCCTTGGTTCTTTTAATGCCTTAGGTCTATTGAAAAGAACACCCGATGTCCATTGAACATAAATAATATTACCTAAATACATTTATATATTTACAGACCGATTCAATTCTTCTTTTTAGATATAAATTGCAATGGATGATAAGTCACATCATAATAAGGCTATCTGAGCACCATATTTTTTCGGGGTACTTTAAATCTATATAAACTCATATCTCATAAATAAATCAATATATTGATCATTTAGTACGCTTTTATCATATTGATTTAAAATAGTTCATGATTAATTATTCCAAGTCATAATGACACATTGTGGTACACGCCTTGTTTAAAAACCATAAACATAGAATTCATTATTCAAGATTTTATAATATTCTTTATATATTATTTGAATATCGTGGTAAAATAAATGCCATCGTTGTATATATGCAAATTATATTCACCAATTCCCGAGTTGAATTAATCTACTGTTAAAATGATAATATAATATTACACGAAAACACAAAATACCTTTTATTCAATTTAATATCTCGTGTGACATCGACATACTGCTATACAAGGAAGCAATTTCAAACTTGCAAGATTCAAATCACAGAATACTAGTAGTTTAGCAGAACATAAGAATAAGACGCTAGAAACAAAACCGTCATTCCCTTACGCCATATAAATCATTCACTATTGCTTCCGATGCTCTTAAAGTTGACGTCTTTCCTTCATTATCTCGCTCCGGAAAAGCTCGCAAAACAAATATTTCACTATGGAAGACTAATTGTTTGAAGGAAGACAGCGAGACAGGTATGGAGTCGATATAATTGACACAAGATAAATGAAGTATATATGTAGCCTACTTGACAGTTGAAAATCTCGTAGAGAAATTAGTGTGTCTTGTCTGATTTTCCCAGACCTCTTTCAATAAATGTAAAACAAATCAAACTTCTTAACAATAAAATGTCAAATTTAATTCTACGCAATCTGCCTCTGTTTTTTTATATTTCATTTTTTACTGGTTCTATTTTAAAGGGTTAAGCTGTAAGGTGAATTGAATCAATTTTAGAAATTCAATTTAAGGTAATTTATTGTTCCTTTTATCATACTCTCAGTCTAAAGATTGCGATCAGGATAAAACGAATTTAACCTTTTATTTCACGAGAAAACAATTTTGGGGGAGTTCATTCCTTAATAAAATACATATTTATTTAAACTTTAAACAAATAGTTAGATCACTTCTTTTCTCAATTGATAACTTCCTTCAGATACACAACTCAATGTAATTGCCATCCAATTAACTTTGATATACAATACAACGACGCTGATTTGATAGATGTCACGAAATAGTAAACCTAAAATTTGGGATTAAATCTTAAAATTTCCCAAGGAGTTTAAGAAAATTTGCTAGGCAGTGCACGTAAACATGCATGGGGGTAATTGCTACTGGCGTTTATAATAGCCAACGTGATGAAAGTCACAAACTAGTACTTAAAATTAATCACATGCCTTATCTTTAGCAATTTTAGCTACAGAAGCTAGTTACTATCAATCTCCCAGTCACTTACCTATCTAGACATTTAATACAACTTCTTAAATCGACTGTAATTTTCTTTATTTACTCCCACCAAGATGTTATCCGACCAAAGAAATGAAACACACTGTACAGAAATATCAAATAACCCTTTACTATATGGTGTACTTATAATCGATAGTCTTTAATATCCAGTAGTAATCACGATCAACTAATCATGGTTTCAAACAAGTGGACAATAACGTGGTTTAAAACCGCTGAGATCAGGTAGGTGGTGGAGTAGGTGGATGACATAACATCAGGTAATATAAGTAAAGATCAACCGTTTATGACTAATGAGTAAGAGCTTGTATACACGATTAACTACAAAGAAAATTTGTACATAATACTGTTATGTGAAACAGCCTAATTCAAAGGCCATAACATCAATTCCCGTCGAGTGCATTCGACTTAATTGTATAACACATACTTATTATATTCTTTAATCCCTGTTTGCAAAATAAGTCGACTGTGCTTACCATGCTGTAAGCTAATCTTCCTTAATCTTATTATCGAATTATATTGATAATACTTAACACAATGAATGACCACTAACGATATTTTTGTTTAAGACTATGGAAACAACAAGTTTTAAATATGGATAATTAAATGGTGGAACGGCGTATGTCAGCAATAAGTTTCATCAACCTAAACGTATAGGTAACAGGACATGTTTTGACCAGATGGTATTAAATATGATGATGAGTTAGTTGTATTTTACGTCCGCTTCCACCGAGGTGATATCGCAGACAAAGGTATTAAATATAAAACTGTCCAGTACTTAAAGAAGACTTATTTAATCTGCACTAACGGAAGCAATCGAGCACTAATTGAAATGTGATATACACAGCATATGGTCCATTTATTACCTATGACGTTTGAACTTAACAAAATCAGTTATCAGAAACAGTCTGCGGTCTATCTGTGTAACGAGTCATAAAAATAGTCACAGTCCAGTTACAGTCCAATTATCAGTACTAAGTTATCTTTACCAAAGCCATGCAACAGGCGTTGGCTTGTTATAAAGATACCATTATATTTAACAGAACCTTAACAGTTCATAATAAAACTAGCGGCTGCATTCAAGAACACACACGGTACACTGGAGTAATATAAACAGTCAAAGATTTATCATATCCATGCAGTTCTAATATAAAACGGCACTATAATTCATATCACAGACTTCAAAGGAGAAAATTCAAAAGAGTTTGGATTGAAATTTTCATAATACAACTTCATAAATAGCCCAATTTACTCTTCATTACAGTCATCGTTAGGTATCACCAACATGTTATTGGTAATTCACATCATGTAAAGAAAAATTATCAACGATTTGTTAATCCCCGACTAGTTTCTACCAGTCTTGCCGAGTTCACATAATTAAAGCTTTAACATGTGTAAGTTAGTTTTTGTTCTAAAAGTTAACACGATAATTAAAATCTGTCGCTAAATCGCTTACGGCATCGAACAATAAGTGGTATTGAATACAAAGCCTGTTATGATACACGATGGAATAACAAAAGCCACATTGCTGGGGGTAGTGTGAATGTAAACAAAGCTCGTGGATATTCCAATGGACCGATG